AGAGGGGAGGGGGGAGGAGGACACCGAGGGAGAAAGAGGAGAGAAAGAGCGGAGAGAGAAAGGGAGGGAGAATAGGAGACAGGAAGAGAAGGAAAGAGAAAGAGACAGCAAGGCATAAAGAGAGGGAGAAAAGGAGAGAGAGCAAGAACATGGAGGGGAAAGAGAGGAAATGGGAGAGAGGAACAGATAAGGAGAGGAGAGAGGGAAGGAGAGAGATAAGCAGGTACAGGGACAGGTCCAGGACATGGGAGAAATTAAACAGAAGGGAAGGTGAGAGAGGAGAGAGACAGAGAGAGAGAGAGAGAGAGAGAGAGACACACACACACACACACAGAGCTCAGGTGCCATAGGGAACCCTGGAGAGGGGAGGGTGAGGGAGGCTATGGCCAGCCTGAGGTGAGGGGAGCAGGGATTGGGGTGAAGGCTGAGACTCAGAGGGGCCCAGGAGTGCAGGCGTCTTCCATTGGGGAGCAGGTGCAGGGACATTGGGTGTCAGCGGTTGGGGTGCTGTGGGGAGGCTGCTTACAGCCTGGCCTGGGCTCCCAGCCTTCTCTACAGAGGTCCCAGGAGACACAGTGCGCTGTGTGAGCAGAGCACCTCAGGGAGAGGGTGTCAGGGTGATCTGGTGGGCAGGGGTGAGGGGCCTGTGAGCTTTCCCAGGGCTTCCTTGAGGGCTCCTTGGCTTGCCTGGTGTATGTAATTTTGCAGAGCTGGAGAGATGATTTTTAAATACTGACAAATTCAGTTCTCTCTTAATTGTGGGGTTGGCAGGATTTGTTTCCTTGAACAATAAAATCTGAAAGAATATTCGAGTGTTTTCGGTAAAATGGTGGAATATTTGCGTATAATGTATGTATATTCTCCCTTATATTTTTAAATCATATCTAAATTATACATGATTCCGAACATAGAGAAAATGTATCTACATAGTTGTCATTGTTTAGGAAAGATGATAAGAAAAAAGTGTGTTCAGTATACACATTTTTTTCATTATTTCAGTATACACATTTTCCCACTGAAAATTCATCCAATGGGAAACTCTTTGATATGGAAGTCCATCTGTATTCTAAATATATATGTTTTTAAATTTTAAATTTAATTTTTCTGATATATAAGTTTTTTGAACATTTTTATGACATATATTTGCAAATAATATTACTCTAAAAATTGCTTCTTGTCTGGGGTCCTAGTGTTTTCTCATTAATTTTTTTGAGTCTTCATACAAAATATTCTTACATCCTTATCTAAATTTTCTTCAGAGTTTTCCCCATTTTCTGGTTTATGCTTTGTTTCTATTAATAGTGTTCCTGTGAAGAATGTACACATTTTATTTAATAAAACACGAGGCAGCATTGTTAGTAACGATTTAGCAGCAATCTTGTCGGTGATTCTCTGGTGTTGGGAAAATGCTCTTTCTTTGGAAAATGAATCACTGAGGGTGGCACTGACAGGGACGTTAACAGGCACGGAGCACACATATTATTAAGTCCCGGACACCCTGCTGCTGACTCCAAGGGTCAGTGGAGAAAGAGACCAGGATAACCTGGTCACAGTCCCGACAAGAGACAGGTGTGTTGGGTAGGGAGAGGGGCTCCTCAGGGAGGCAGAGAGGGCATCTGTGCAGAGGACTGAGGCTCCCGGCTGCTTCCCTTCTCCTCAGGGCTCCCGAGTCTCCCTCTCATCCCTCCTCATTGGCCTTGGAAAGCCCTGAGAGCGCCTTCCTCAGTGAGGAGCGATCAGGTCCAGCTATGAAAACTGTTCATTTCTTTTCAAACCCAGTGGGCCCTGCTGAGAGGATTAAACTGCAGGCTCCTGACAGTGGCTCCTGTGGCCCCAGGCAGGTGTGAGGAGGCCCGTGAGGACCTGGGTCCCTCCCTGGACAGGAGACCGAGGACGGCACCGCCTGCCTGACTCCCTCTCTCGGCCTCCTCTCCTCCAGTGGAGCCCAAGGTGACCGTGTACCCCACCAAGACCCAGGCCCTGCAGCACCACAGCCTCCTGGTGTGCTCTGTGAGTGGTTTCTACCCCGGCCACATCGAAGTCAGGTGGTTCCGGAACGGCCAGGAGCAGGAGGACGGGGTGGTGTCCACAGGCCTGATCCGGAACGGGGACTGGACCTTCCAGACCCTGGTCATGCTGGAAACAGTTCCTCGGAGCGGAGAGGTTTACGTCTGCCGGGTGGAGCACCCGAGCTGGAGCAGCCCCGTCGCCGTGGAGTGGAGTGAGTGGGAAGCCGGACCTTCTGAGCTCCTGTCCTGCACACAGGGGCTCTTCCCTTATCCCCGAGGGTCAGCCTGCCCTTCCCTTACAGAAATATGCTCTGATCTCCAGTGGGACAACTCCTAGGGGTGGAACCCGGAGAGTTTCTACAAACACTTGTGCACCTTCAGCAGGCAGGATGCCTGTCCCACGGAAGAGAAGTGTCCCTGCTTTGCACCTTCTCGTGCTGTCACTGGTCATGGTCACCCCACGGCCCTGACCCCACACCCTCCCCCGGGCTGAGCCTGTGTTTCTGCTGCTGCTGCTCTGGGCTGTTCACTGTGCTCTGGAGGAGGAGCAATGCTGGGTCTTCCTGGCAGGAGAGGAGTCGCCCTCAGCTGTGCCTCTCATCAGCTCTGTCATCCCGGAGGGCTGCGCAGCTCACTGAGCTCCAGACCCTGCTCACATCCGGGTTATTGCGGGGCTGTGAGATTTAGAATTCAGGGCATCAGCCTCACACCTACTCTATTTGCAAATTTTAAATCTTTCTTCCCAGGAATGACCACATCTAGCTTTGAGTGAAGGAATCAGTCTCCTAGTCTTCAAATTCTGAGTCTTGGGGTCTCGAGCGGGTTCTGGGATTTTGGGTTAAAATAATCCCTAAACCCGGCACCTTCTCTCAGGGGCACAGTTTGGATCTGCGGAGCAAGATTAGTGGAGTTTGGGACTTTGTGCTGGGTCTGCTCTTCCTGGGGGCGGGGCTGTTCATCTACTGCAGGAATCAGAAAGGTAAGAAGCCTACTGGTGCCTCAGCCCCTCCTTACCCTTTTCCCAGGGGAGACAGACTGTTTTCCTGTGATTAGTTCTTGGTATTTTGGTGTTTCTGGAGGAAGCCTTTCTTACCTCAGGTTACTCAGATTTCCTGAGAATTCTGACATCAATTGTTTATGAATTCTTATTTGAAACCAGGGGCTGTTCTTTCTGAAGAGACAAAGAACAAGTTGAGTACCCTAGAAATTCTGGGCGGAGAGCTGAGGGTGAATAAGGAAGGGCACTGAACGGGGGATTTACGGGGATTGTAGCATGAGAACTACCAGTTGGCAGGTGTGACACTAAGAGAACTTTGTTGGGGACAGGTTTGCCTTCATGTCTATTAAGTCTCTCTTTCCCCTCTCTTTCCAGGAGACTCTGAAGTTCAGCCAATAGGTAACGTCCTGGAAACTTGCCTCACGGACAGATTCGCTTTACCTTCAACGGCCTGTAACAGGGATGAAAGAGGAAACAGATAATGTGAAAGATTTTGGATATAAAGTTCTGGTCAGGCAGCTGCCCTAAACCTTGTTCACTTCACTTAATAAAATTCTGTGCTCTGAGGTAGCATCGGTTCAGGGAGACTTAGAGATCTTTCTTCTCTCTCTGCAGTGCTGTCCTGAGAGGGGAGAGGAGCTGCATTCAGAGTCAGCTCAGGAATCACTGCTGTCCTCTGTCCCTCAGGACTCCTGAGCTAAGGGGAAGGTGACAGCTGTGCAGGGAGGAGTTGTGTCCCTGCTTCTCTGCAACCCCGCCACATGGTGACCGGCTTCCTGCTCGGCTCCGCTAGGCTCGTTCTCCCAGAGAGAGAGGCTTCTCTCTCCCATGCCCAGGACCACACAGAAGGCGCCCTCCCTGATGGCCTCTTCTGCTCCGTGGACTCCAGGGCTTCCCTTCGTTCTCCTGGCCCCTTTGTTCGTGCTTCTGAACTCACCCTGTGGAGCATTGCTTTGTTATTTTCTCCGAAAAAAATCATGGGCTTCCTACAGTTTGAGGACAAAAAGACAAAAGAGGATAGAAGTGTTATGCTTTGGGTCTACGTGACCCCCTACATGTCCACTTATGCGGTCATAGGTGGCTTTTTCAGATGTGGCTGACACTAGAGTGTGTGATGCTGGATTAAGGGCGTGTGATTACTAAACTATTACACTGATTGGTTTGGCAGCACCCTGATCCTGGTAGCCTGGATAAGATAAAAGGGACAGAAAGACACTACTGCTAGGGTTCCCTTGTTTCTCTTGCTACCGTGTGGGTGCCAGAACCTGTTTCTCCTCTCTAATGCCCCTCCGCCATGTGTCTCTCTGCCTTGGCGCCGCCTGATTGTGGAGTGAAAGTAATTTAAAAGTGTGAGCTAAATAGACCCTTTTTCCTTTCCCTTGGGGTGTAGGGTATTTTGTCTCAGCAATAAGAGAAAAGTAACTAAGATAGAAATTTGGTA